GCTGAGGGAGCTGGGGTTGTTTAGCCTGGAGAAAAGGAGGCTGAGGGGAGACCTCATTGCTCTCTACAACTCCCTGAAAGGAGGTTGTAGCGAGGTGGGTGTTGGTCTCTTCTCCCAAGTAACAAGCGATAGGATGAGAGGAAATGGCCTCAAGTTGCACTGGGGATGTTTGGATTGGATATTAGAAAAAATTCTTTACCGGAAGGGTTGTCAAGCATTGGAACAGGCTGCCCAGGAAAGTGGTTGAGTCCCCATCCCTGGGGATATTTAAAAGATGTGTAGATATGACGCTTAGGGACATGGTTTAGTGGTGGACTTGGCAGTGTTAGGTTAATGGTTGGACTTGATCTTAAGGGTCTTTTCCAACCTAAATGATTCTATGATTCTATCTAAATTAAGGACCAAATTCTATTCCTTGCTGCAGCAATGCAGAGTCACAGTCTTCAGCAGAGAATCAGGGTTTTAAAGAAGAGAGTTCTGGAACGTGTCCCTCTTCATGGACAACAGCTTAAATTTTAGTGCCCCTAACTGGAACAGTGCTTGAAAGGTGTATGTAGGTGAGGGAGTCAGTATTAGGATTAACTTTTTCAGTCTGCACTATGTAGTTATAAGTTTCCATGTGCATCATTTACATAGTAAGACTTGAAATGGTCAAGTGCCAAGAAAAGGAAATAAAGGAGGCTTTCAACTCTGTTAGAGGAGAAGACCAAGGAGAAAGCCCTAAAGGCAAAACATACTGGAGAAAGCTTGAATTTAATGGAAGGAGAAGCCATAATCTAAAGAAGAATGCAGTCAAGAATGAGGAACTTCTAATATTCTCCCTTGAATATCAGGTGTAGTAACTGAGGTACTCTGGTTTAAAAAAAAAAAAACCAAAAAAAAACCAAAAAACACCGCCAAATAAACCCCACAAAAATAAACAAGTGGTGCCTACCTATATCCTCCAGCATCTAAATTCTTTTTATAAGCAAAGTACCTGCTCCTTTAAGAATGAGAAGACCTTTAGAATTATTTCATAGAAATCTTTGCACAAAAAATAATATGATCCTAAGATCAGGATTTGCTAGCTGTTTAACAGCTACTCAGGAAAACATGCCTTCAGATATTAAATAACAGTTGTAAAGTACAGAAACAAAGCTGGTTACAATTGTTTTCTTCCCATAAGGTTACAGTAATACAGATTCAGCAAACACCTACCTGACCTCAGATGGTGAATACTCACTTCATGGCTATATTATCCACTCTAATGACCACCTTTGGCCCCTCTTCACAAACTTGGAGTCTGCTGTCAAAGAAGGCAGCAGGCAGAACCATCGAGCCTTTGGAAAGAAAGCAGAAGATTTATTTAAGGTAATATAACTCTTATTAGTATCAAAACTAGCTGTGAGGAGCCTAAAACTGATCTAGGGGCAAATGGAGACTGAGCTGTCTAAGAAAGTTGGTCAGTCTCAGAAATGGTAGAAACACAATGCCACTCACTAGACCCAGACTTCTGTTCCCTTCAACTTCAGGCTCTAAAGTGCTGGAGCAATCACAGAATATACAGGGAAATTCGAGTGCTGATGAAAATTCTCTGGCTAAAGTGTTGCCCATCCAGCTAACACACTCTCAGATCAACCTCTGGGCCTGTTTAATTTACATTTATGTGGCCTTTTTGTAACACCAGGTAGTATCTTATCACATACGCACTCCTTCCATACTGGATGCCAATCACTTGGTACTGATGTGTATCCAGTTCAATCTGTGCTGACAGTTTTCAAAGTTGCTTTGTGTTGATGCAGTGGAGAAGGGATCCAATCTCTTGTAGTTTTGTATATGCTTCAAGCTGGTATATATTGCTGATAAGAATTGTAATCCTTTCTTCCATCTGTTTCCATCTCTGTAGCATTCCTTTTCCAACGCTAGCCCAGGTGGATGTGTTCAGACTGGAGAAACACTTAGAGTTATAACTAGCCTGACTCGTCATTTATCCTGGTGAAGCAGGTTGGGGGGCATAAATATTTGTGCCTGTTTAAGGAGAGTGCTAGTAGAGTGAGCAGAATATGTCAGGGCTTCATCTCTGACAGCAGTGCTGGCTTAAAGTGTACTTCAGACTACATCCTGAGGTTCTTAATTTATACTTAACTTCTAGATGCTGATGAAGCCAGTCTCCTAAAGGAGATGTCTACATCTCTCGTATACAGTTGGTGGAAGGAAATAAGGGCTTTTGGAGACTTAACAAGGTCCTGTTAGCCTAATGTTAGTACCTAGATTACTGGTAGACAAGAACGTCCTTTAGGAATCCTTCAAAGGCTCTTTTAAAGGGAGTTTAGATACTTTGCTGTAGGATAGATACTGCAGTAGATGCTTAAATTTATGTGCAAGTTAAGTGTTTTAACGTAGGTGAACTGGATCTCATCCTTTGTTAAACATCTGGGTTACCAACTTGAGTTTGCTTGGGTGTTGCTTGTGACAGGAGTCACTACCAGTTCAGGCCTGGGCTCCATATGTATACAGGATAGTACGTCCAAGCAGAATATGTGGGCTGCCTATGGCACTACGCGTACCACAGCCTGGAGATACTTCCACTTCATGGTAGCTGTAAAGCCAGACATAACTGATGAAGTCTGTATGAAAGTGAGACATAAAGGGGATTCATGCTTATGTATCATTTCAAAGGTAAAGGCATGAGGTTCTGGTACTGAATGCTTGCATCTCACCTAATCAAAAAAAAACAGTATGAGCTTTAATGTTTCTGGTTTAAGTTACGGTCCAATCATCTAGTTATTTTCCCGTCATGGGACAGTAAATGCCAGAATTAAATGAAAGCAATTTGTGAGTATATCGAGAAGAAGGAGGAACACTTCAGGAGACTGAAGGAAAAAAATCGATCTGTCCTTTCAAACAGTTTCAAGTCTGGAGACATCTTGCTGTGGAGCAAATGTGTTAGTAAATGTATGTCAAAGGCACAGTATTTCTTTATTACTTTTCAGATTACCCCTTCTTCCTGCTATGCTGCCCCAGCTTCAGTGGGCAGAAGTGTTGAATTTAACAGCCCTTGGGACATTACCAAGACCAGGTTGAAACCAACCAAGGTACATCCTTTGGGACGTACTGCAAAAGATGTCTGTGTGATCAGAATTTTGGAGAGGATGCAAAAATCTGCTTATTGCTACGGTGAAACAGCAAAGGACTTGGATGAGCAACTAGCCAATGGCACTTTTAACTGATCTTTTAATTTTAGAATTCTAATGTTAATGGTGTGCACCTACTGCCTTGGTTGTACATAGTTTTAGTTAAGTAATGAAAATAAACTTCAATTACTGTGCTTTTTTTCCCTTTTTAGGACTATTATCACAGCCAGGAGGTGAAGCAACGTTTTATGGCTGCCATGCACAGCATTGCCCACCTGACAGCAAGAGATGTGGCTACAGCATTTGATCTTTCACAGTTCAAATCTGCTTGTGATTTAGGAGGTATTGTATATAATTGCACCTGTATACAAATTAAAGGGAAAAGCTTGATTTCAGTTCTATATTCTATTACTTAAAACATATGTATATTTTTTTACTAGAACGGCAGTAATATTATCTACTGTTATTTTTCTGGTATTGTTATGTCAGAATGAAAGGACTGAGTGTAGTTAACTGAAAGCAGGGTTACTTAAATGGTATTTGAACAGTTTGAAATAAGTGAATGTTTGTCACAATCAGTTACATACTGACACAGCTCAACACAGAAAACAAGATGGGTTGTGGCTCAGCTGATAGAATATTGGGCTGGGAGCTCCATTTTCAACTGTGCTGTTGCTGTCCTTCGGCATGTCCAGGATTTTCAAAAGTAATGAAGGATTTATTTCTGAGTCCTTCTGTATTGGGGTATCAAACTCGAAACACTGCACTGCTTGAACAAAAAGTTTTGATTCTTTTAGGATGGGTTTGTTTTGTGTGTTGTTTTAATTCTTAATATCCAAGATGACCACCAAAATGTTGAAGATCAATGATACACCTGAAGAAACTCTTGTTAGTGTCCTTTTTTGCCCTGTGCTTGCAGTTGCATAGAGGGAGTGTTATCACGAAAAAAAAACACTGGAGGAAGAACACTTTACGTAGTGCCTGGGGAGGTGGACAGCACGTCAGAGGAAATAACACAATACTGTTGTAACCTTTGCCACTTGTGCAGAGGCTCCAAGACTTTGCCATCCCTATCATTTACCATGCTGGAGAGTATTAGTCAAACTTCATATATCAGTGCTTTGTAAATGGTAAATAGTTCTAGTGCTCTTCATCCACAAATTACAAGTCCTTGCCCTTTCATTAATGCTCTTCTACCCCCAAAAAAACCCTGAGGTAGTGGTATCAAAGGTCATTTTAGCAATTCTATGACAGTTAGGGAGTCATGCCTGCATTCCCCAAGCTTTAAAGCATTGCTCTATCCACCAAGAAGTGCTATTGCCCATGTTAATTGTGGAGCTGTCTACCTCTAATTCTGATTTGATGTCTCTATTTTATATATTTTAATGTTATATACAGCCTTGTCTTTAAAAATGTCTGCAAATGCTGGGAGAAAAGAGTCGATTTTGACTTTTTTAAACTTTCAACAGGTTGCACTGGAGCTCTGGCTCATGAATTAGTACAAATATACCCAAATCTCGAGGTCACAGTATTTGACCTTCCAGAAGTCATTGCAAACACCTCTTACTTTCAGCCTTCAGGACAACACACAGCTTCGGTGACATTTGTATCAGGTAAATGTAACACATGATCTTTTGTCTTACTTCAGTTATCCTGGAGCACAGAGCAGGTTCTTTTGTTGCAGAAAACAGTGTGCTACCCTGCTCCAACCCCAAACGTGTCTTAGTACAAGGCAACGTAGGCTCACCCTTGCTAAATGGGGACATTGTATTCCTCAAGCCTGTGGGGATAAAAACAAACTGGCTATGGTTGGAGAATGTGGATAAATGAGGAAGTATGAATTAGTCATTTTTGAGTACCACTGGGAGTAGAGGCTGCATGCCCTTGTCTCAGGCTTTTTTAGGCAAGGTCAGCATGGTGGCTACAAAGGACTTCGATGTCTCCTTCCTTACTTTAGGCTTTCTCTCCATTTTTATATGTTACAAAATTCTTACCTGTGATCTCCTCTTCTTTTTAACTACGCTTTCCTTATATGCAAATCAGTGCATCCCTATACCTGGTCATTCTTGTTTCTTTAGCACTGCTGAAGCTCCTAGTTCCTCTGCAATATTTTAATTTCATTTTGTGGTTTCTACAGGAACGTACTAACTCTGCTTTCCAACAGGTGACTTCTTCAAGGATAATCTTCCAGAAGCAGACCTTTACATCCTTTCACGTGTTCTTCATGACTGGCCTGATGAAAAGATACATGTGCTGTTAAGCAAGATATCAGCTGTTTGCAAACCAGGTAGGTTTTTTCATCTTGTGGGCTTAAAGGTGCATGTTAATGCATAAATATAATGAGTAACCATAAGAAGTTCATATTAAAAAAGCATATTTTTCTCTCCAATCATAGTAGCCTTTGCTTGAATCTCTATGCTTGCATTATGGTAATACCTACTAAGAAAAAAAGGAAACAAAGCTGCTAATAAAACTATATAAAATAAGCCCTTACTATAGTTGCAGGCTTCACATACAACTACGTCATCTCCCCTATCTCTGCCATGCCCAGTCTTTCTTACTAAGCCCTGTATCATCAAATAACTAAGCATGTACTTATTTCTATACATACAAGTAGTCTAACTTAAGTTCCTTCAGGTTAATCAAGAAGCAGCAGTTTGTTTTGCTGTTCAAGAAGCAGCAGTTTGTTTTGCTATCGTTTTGCTATCTCAGTCATGCCCAGAATATGGTAAACTAGAGTTCAGCACTACTTTATGCACAGATTTCATGAGATATATGTAGCCTCTTCTGCTTTCTCCTACATTTGAATCATTAGAATATCTCAAGTGGGAAGGGACCCATAAGGATCACTGTGTCCAACTCCCTGCTCCTCCCAGGGCTACCTAAAACTAAACCATATGACTAAGAGCATCATCCAGATGCTTCTTGAACTCTGACAGGCTTGGTGCCATGACAACTTCCCTGGGCAGCCTGTTCCAGCGACTGACCACTCTCTCAGTGAAGAACCTTTTCTTAATGTCCAATCTGAACTTCCCCTGACGCAGCTTCATTCCATTTCCTCGTGTCCTACCGCTGGTCACCAGAGAGAGGAGGTCAGCACCTACCCTCTGCTGCCCCTCTTGAGGAAGCTGTAGACAGTGATGAGGTCTTCCCTCAGCCTGCTCTTCTCCAAGCTGAACAAACCGAGTGACCTCAGCTGCTCCTCA